CTTTGCCACACTTACTGGCTCTCTTATGGCCTCAGGCAGTACTTTCAACGGGAGCAATTCCGCGTGGGGAACGTCACAAATTCCCAGTTCACGACGGTCTGGAAGAACATGTCAAAAGATCAACAAAAGGTCAGATCCTCTATGTATTCTCGCATACTCTCTGATGCGACATGCGGGGGCAATTAGCATTACCAGGATAAGGCCGACGAAGAGGGAAAAGAAGCCGCAGAGGCTGCGGGTGTAAGTGTACTGTGCCAAAGTCGAGATTAGCTGACGAATTTTTCTAGAGGACATGGAAGCCCCGAGTACGGAAGGTAGGGAACCAGGAGAAAGACGCATAGGACCTGGTTAGGTATGTGCACGAGACACATTTGTATTCATGTAAGTAATGATTCTTATATCACACAGTATCTGCCTTGGATTTCTTGCTCAGAGCGTCGAGGATCGGTGGGAGGGAGAACTGGGAGCAGAGGGGGATGGGAGGGGGATGGCGGGGGATGGGGAGGGGGGGATGGGGAGGGGGCGCGGGAGGGGGGACGGGATGGACTGGATGCGGGAGGGACTGCAAGCGGGAGGTATTGGGCGGTATTGGGTGGTATGGGGTTCCATCCAGAGCAATTGGGCAGCATTGGTACAAAAGGTAGATGGTACGGTGTAGTATGGTTATCAGGATACAATGGGCCGTAATGTATTGTAAAGGCTGTCATTCCGTAGCAATGCAACATCGTACTGATTAGCAGTAGTCTTGAGCATACCAACAAGGTCCAATGAAACCCATTGAAGTCTGTCTATGGCTATGTACTGCATGCTACGCACAGCGGGGGTAAACACTCGCAATCGGCCGCATTAGGTGACACTGCCATTATCCGGCAGATTGTGTTTGCCAGCCTTTACCGCTTTGCAAAAGGGTGGGAAACGGTGACAAACGGGAGGAGACGGGGGCATAGTCACCGGTTTTGACTGGGACTAAGGATCGGCGCCTCCATAGCGCCTTAATTAGGGCGCCGTAGACCTCCAGAAAAACATTTGAAACATAAACCTGGCCAAAATATGCGTAATCCTGCAATTTCGATTTTTTGATGGATTACGTAAGCGTTCACTTTTAGGGGTGGAAATTTCAATATTGCGGATTTCGCTGAGGGAATGATCCTGGAGTTGAATGGTGTATAACAAGCATCGAAAGGTGAGGTATCCTCACTCACAGAAGTCCCAGTGCCCCTTCAGGGTGACCTTACTCCAGAAATAGTGCTGTATGAGGGCGTATTAGATGATTCTAGATCTCCACAAGTCAGCTCATATGCCCTCAAGCTTACCTGACACTCTGAGTATCAAGAACTGTGTAATGAGAATGGGACCTGACATAGGGGTAGTAGACCCATTATGGGCTAACTGCATTAGGGTTAGGGCGTATTACTAATTACAGCCATCAATGTATATCTATATATGGTAACTCCGACTCAACTCCGCTTCAAATTCACTTTTCAGGTATGTCAAATCTTTAAATATTGGAATTTCGAGAAAGTAATCAGATAGCCTGAAAGCTACGGGCAATCCGAGTCGATTGGCCCTGTTTTCAGGCCCATTGGAGTCTTTGCCCGGGACGAGATACCATCACGCGTTCGGCTATGCCTGAGGCGTCGGTTTTGAGCGACCGACACTGTATGGGTGCCCACTGCCATATTGGTATAGTTTCTGGGTCGGAGTATCAAACAACTCCATAGTAAATGTTTAGAAGTAGTAAATGGTGGTCGATATGGGTCTGATTGAGCTAATAATAGGATTATTTATGGGTTATGGACCCTCCAGGAAGGTATGGGTTATGGGGTATCAGAGAGTTATGGGTTGTCGCGATGATTAATTGGGAACCAAATCGGTGGATGCAAAAATGTATGGGTTATTAGAGGTTATGGGTTTTTGGAGGTATGGGTTAAGGGAGAGTCGACTGTAGCAAGGTCTCTGCTTGTCGGGAATTGAACCCTTAAAACTGTATTTATTTATATTTTTTGTGGTGTGTGCATTGTTTCTATCACTGCCATCGGATTCAGTAGTCGAACTCAATAAGTGTTTCTCGCTCATTTTCTAAGTGCGCTGAAGCCTTTCGAGGTCCATGCTGAACGGCGATCGGACTTGGGATCTCAGTGCAAGCAAGAAAACGAGAAACAGCTCCTCGAGCTGTTTCTCTTTCTCTGGGGAAGACTTTCAATTGCCATGCGCTGCACTGAAGTACCAGGAAAGTGCCGACGACGCCCGACAACGTAGGCGGCAGCTTCAAACGACACTCTGTATTACAGTACTACTACATAGTATACTACTTGTACTAAGATAGCCCCGAGCCCCGGTATGACCGCTGGTGTCAGTCAACGAGCAGTCCTGAGCCTTGTTAGGCTTGACCGGAGGTCAGATGAGCCAGCCTAATTACGCCTGGGACCTGGGCTGTCTAGGTGGTACCAGGCTCTCGGTTGCTTATGTCATTACCTAATACGACATGTTGTGACACCTGTTGGATGCGCACTAAGTTGTGTTCTGGCACCCTTGCAACTACTGAGCTAGGGCAGGGCCAGTATGGTGCCCCTGCTGATACTGTTACATACTGTCTCGGAGAGGGATAGAAAATACTATGTTTGGTATCTACATGAATTGTAACATATGCCTATTTGAGAATGCGGCATGTGGGATGAGTACAATGTTGTAATATGTATTTGGCATTATTTGTTTATTTTCTTTTTCGTAGTTACGTCTCACTTTAGCCACTTATTCTTGTGCCTTGGGTATTCGTTCTGACTCATATTTCTCTTGTCTTATATCATAGTGGAGTTATTCTGTGTATATAAACCCTCGTAGTCACTGCGTTTTCTGCTTTCTGTTCAACGGGGTGGATACATGTAGATAACTAATATATACTTACCTGTCCTATTTCGTATCCCCTACGCCTACTCTCAGGCGTATTTGAACTTCTCGTCGGTCTAAAATTGGCACAGACAGCCGTGAGAGCTGATGTTTACACGAACTATCCAGCCGCAGATAGACAAGCTATCCTCCTCTACCGATCTGCTATGGAGGCGCTGTCCTATCCTCACATAGATCTTTCAGCTGTTTGCCATATCTACAGCCTGTTCAAAATGTCTCTAAGTCCCAGCCCACCATGTCCTCAACGCGATTCACGATGGCCAACCCATTTTACACCCCTCATATACTGGTCCCGCGAGCACGCCGCCCTCTCGCCAACCCGATTCCACCACCGCCCGGCCCTGGCGATCGACTCATCGAGCAGCTTCGCACTGCCGAAGTCGCATGCAGCTGTAAGACATGCCTAAGAACATCGTCCGACAAAGCATTCGGCGAAGTGTGGATGCTTTGCCGCGATTTACGTGAGCTTCCTATGTCCTTCTGGATGCTCCTTCACATGTTGCTGTCTCTCACAGGACCCGGGGGAGGGTGTTGCCATTTGTCAGAGTGAGTCCTTCTGGTGGGTTGCACAAGATTTCAGTGGCTAATGTACCCTTGAAGTCCTTCGGAGAGGCCCGCCTGGTGATGCGCACGGTTGTCAGTGAGTGCAGTTTTTGTCGTTTCCGATTGTGAATCCCCGAACGCCTCCCGGTCGACGGATTGGGTGATCGTTCGATGTTCAAGGTATCAAGAGAGCATTAGGCAATAATGCTCGTAGTCAACGGGGTAAACGTCCCGGTCAAGTCCTCCTCGGTCTGAAGTGAGCCACTTGAGATGCTGTACTATATAACACTGTGTAACCTCCATGTAATCCAGCCGTACCACCGGCGGAGGACCTGCTCCTCCACGTTTACATCTTGATATGATCATCTCTTCGATGAGCTCCTAATCACAGGTAGGCCCGATGCGATGTATTTCCATCTCCTCCAGTCTCGGGAGAAGATATTCCTCGGACGGCTGAAGGTCATGCGCCTCACAATGTCCTCGAGGAACAGCCACTTATTGTATCTACGCACCTGAAGGATGCGCAAATCCGGCAACACCCGGAAGAGCGCCAGGAGCTCCTCCTGCAGGCACACAAAAGAAGTGGAAGGGCGGATAACGCGCTCCTCCAGCTCGCAGCCCGTCCCGTCTGATTATTTCCCAAGATATGCCGAATGAGAATGCAGCGGCCCACTGTAAGTCGGCGGAGAGCAGGGAAGAAGTGCCATTGAACGAACGCCCCAAAGTCGGTAAAGCTGTACGTCGCGTCGACGTCCAGAGTATGAAGCTTCTCGCACCGGAGCCTTGGCCGCGGGTGACCGCACCAGGGTGCCGTGTGTTCCCTCGTGAGGTATTGCATGGTCAGTGTCAGGGAGAGCAGATTGTAACACGCGGCGAGCAGTTCCACGCAGGGCATCAACGCGGGACCCAATACCTCCAGATGGAGGTCTGTGAGGGATGACCAGCTGAAGGACCTGACGCCGAGGGCCCGGCTGATCCCCTTGATGTAGATATTGCGCAGTTTGGGGGCCGCGGCGAAGATAGACGTTTCCTTCAGTGCCAGGATGTCGTCGCGTTCCCGAGCAACAAGACGCACGGTCTCCAGACGTGGCAGAGGCGCACTGGGAAGTGTCGACAACACATAGACAGGGGCGCGCAGGACGAGTTCTCTGATGCGATGCATGTTCGTCTGGAGAAAGTCGAAGCATACCATGTATTCAACGTCGTTGCAAGGTGACTCCCGCTCACTATGCCGGGAGACAGTGAAAATAACGCTCAGCGAAGCCGACCCCGAGCGAGACATCCAGCGCTTCGTCAGGTGCTTGATTGCGTTGGATGTGGATGGCTTCAGCTCCGCTTCGATGTAGCACCAGAGTTGTGGGGTATCCTCCGCCACCACTTTCCACCTCCGGGACACGCCGGCAAGGCGCAGCGGATGGGACCACGGGCTGCCGCCCTCCCATCCCTGATGCCTGAGCTCCTGCGGAGGAAGAGATAAATTCATAATGTCCGACACAAGCTCCACGGGTACGGTGTCGATCGGCGCTACGTGGCGTTTGATCAGCGATTGGAGGCCACTCATTCTTGGAGAAGCAGCGACTACCTGGTGCTGTGTGGTTCCCGTCCGCAAGCCTCAATATCTCACTACCAGCACCATTTTCAGTGCGTGCTCCTGGACCTTCTGGTGTTTCATATCCTGTGACATGCCACATGGTGAATAATGCCAACAAATACGCGTGCCAATTACCGCCTCGGCTGCGTCATGTTCTGGGTTCTCCATGGTGTAGACTGGCGGAAGTACCAAAGTGCCAAAGGTCAAATGTCAGACAAGAGCCAGGTAGGCGGAAAGTGTCAGATGTGGATTCAGAAGAAGAGTCGACGTTCGCGCTGTAGCCACACGGGCAATCTGAGCCGCACATCGACTTTCCCCGACTCCTGGAGTGAGTGCCACATCGCTGACGTCCTTGTCAAGCCAAGTTTCGAGCCGACAAGCTGCGTTGCAATGACTCGCTATCACGCAGTCAGATACTGACCAATCCTGTTTGTCTGCCTTTACCGCGATTTTTGACATATCCGTCAGTTAGCAGAAGGCGCGGTACGAGGCGCAGACAGGGCAGGGGGTAGGTGTATGCTGTGCGGTGAGCACTCACTGTGGATCTTTTTCCTTCGTGCCCCAGGAACACGGGTACATACTTGATCGCTCACCCTCAGCCAGGCGAAGACGTTGCAAAGACAGTCACGCCTCTCTCCGAGCTGTGAGCCGCGTGCTGAGTGCTCACCTCAATGGGGAAGGCTGACGAAGGTATTTAGCGCCCCCAGCATCGGATAAATGACGCACCCAGGACGGCGCATAGACGATTTCCGCAGAAAGCGAGATCCATTTGGAGAAAACCAGCAAGTCCGACGGGTCGCGGTTGCGGAGAGCGACTCAGCCGCTCCATCGCCAGAGGTACGAGCGAATTGTCGTCGGAGGCGGTCTACGAAGGAGGAGGAGAAGGGTACAGTGGCAGGAGAGCATGGAGGGGCAGTCGGGCGCGTGGCAGAGGACGGGCGGAGAGTCCCGCCTGGGCACGGAGGAGACGGTGCGGTCGACCAAGTGAAGAGTGGCGGGGATGTACAGGAACCCTAACCCGGATGAGATCTGGAGATCTAATCTCATCGGATCTTGATTCAATCAGCCATCTTCCGTTCGACATAAAAAGTCGTCGCTGTCGCCGACACCCGCGCAGCGCAATAATGTGCGAGAGCAAGCCTGACTGGACGCCGAGCTCGTGGCGCACCAAGCCCTTTGCGCAGGCGGTCGCCTACCCCGACGACGCCAAGCTGGAACAGTAAGTGTCGCCTCTCCCACCAACCCGCCTCTCATCCCTCCGCAGAGTGCTCGCCAAGATCAAGTCCCTCCCGCCGCTCGTCACGCCCTCCGAGGTCCGTCCTGTCTAAGGCCTGGTGAATCGCACTCATCCATCCCAGATCGAACGTCTGAGAGAGCAGGTCGCCGCCGTGCAGCGCGACGAGGCCTTCCTCCTGCACGCGGGCGACTGCGCGGAGAGCTTCGACGCGTGCACGCACGTGCGTCCCTCTTCCCTCCTCTCTCTCCTCGCTCACCCGCCCCCAGGCGAACCTCACCTCGAAGCTCGGCCTCATCCTCTCCGTCTCGCTCATCCTCATCTGGGGCGGCCGCCTCCCCATCGTGCGCGTCGGCCGCATCGCCGGCCAGTACGCCAAGCCGCGCTCCAGCCCGACGGAGCTCGTCGACGTCGACGGGGTGAAGAAAGAGGTGCCTAGTTTCCGGTGCGCGTCCACTCTCCTTCTCGTTTGTTCGTTGTTTGTATATGCTCACGACGCGGCATGTCTGGTGCAGCGGGGACAACGTGAACGGGTACGTCCCCCCTCCCATCCATCCCCAATAACAAACCCGATATGGACTGCAACACAGCCTCGACCCCGCCGAGCGCACGCCGGACCCCGAGCGCCTCCTCGCCGCGTACTTCCACTCCGCCGCCACGCTCAACTACCTCCGCGCCCTCCTCGCCAGCGGCTTCGCCAGCCTCGACCACCCGCGCACGTGGAGCCTCGCCCACGTGCGCTCGCCCGAGCTGCGGTGAGTCCCCGTCCGGCCCGCTCGCCACTCCTTCCGTCTGCGCTCCCCTTCGCCTCCCTCTGTCTGACTCCCCGCCGCCTGCTGTCGTCCCCTTTCCCTCTACCCTCGCGCGGATGCGGTACTCGGTATATGCGTGAACCGGGGACTGTGTGCAGGCGCGCATATACTGAATCCCAATATGCGCGCTCTCCGCCATCCCTTCCCTGCCTTCTCTCCCCGTCCCTACTTTACTAACCCCGCCCAGCGCCGAATTCTCCGCGATCACCGCCGCCCTCTCCGACGCGCTCGACTTTTCGCGCGTCATCGGGCTCTCGCCCTCGTCCGCGTCCACGTCGCCGCTCGACGAGGTCGACTTCTACACGTCGCACGAGGGGCTGATGCTCGGGTACGAGGAGGCGCTCACGCGCGCGTTCCCGCAGGGCGCGGGGGTGCGTATACCTTTCCTCCCGCCGCGTCGCGTCGCCGCTCACGCGCGCTCTTCCCCGTCGCCGTCGCCGTCCCGCCCATACTCCCACCCCCCCCCCCCATCCACATAGTCGGCGAAAATCAACAGCCACCAGCAGGGAGGTACGGAAAAGCAAAAGCAAAAGGAAAAGCAAGAGCAAGAGCAAACGGACAACGCCGAGGGGACGCCATCGCACGCGTACAACACCTCCGCGCACTTTCTCTGGATCGGCGACCGCACGCGCCAGCTGCGCGGCGCGCACGTCGAGTACTTCCGCGGGCTGCGCAACCCGGTCGGGGTCAAGGTCGGGCCGTCGGTGCGTCGCGCTCTCCTCACTCCTCACTCCTCACTCCCCACTTCTCCCCCGACCGCTTCCGCGGGTACCTTCTTCCCCCGCCCCCGCCTGCGCGTGCTCTCACTTTCCTCTTCCTCTTCCCCTCCTTGCTTTGTCGCCCATCGCTGACGGCGCGTAGATGGGCGGCGCGGAGATCGTGGAACTGCTCGACAGTACGTGGTCCCCCTCCCCTCCCCCTCCCCGTTCCCTTCTGAACACTAGTGCCATTTTGTGCAGTCCTGAACCCCGACAAGGAGCCCGGAAGGGTCACGCTGATCACGCGGTACGGCGCGGGGAAGGTGCGTCCCTTTCTTATTTCCTATTTCCTATTTCCTGTTTCCTGTTTCTCCCTTCGCATGCCCCCCTCCCATCCCGAGTTGGTTCATCGGAAAAGGCACAACGCTAAATGGATAAATGGATGAATGAATGCACACAGGTCGCGGAGCACCTCCCGACGCACATCCGCGCCGTGCGCGCGTCCGGGCACCCCGTGGCGTGGGTGTGCGATCCGATGCACGGAAAGTGCGTTGTTCCATTTCCATTCCCTTTCCTTCCCTCTACCGCTCCCCCCTCCCCTGTCCCCCTCCCCCTCCCCATCCCTTCTTCTCCTCACCCTTCCCTTCCCATCCCATCCCTACCACTCCCATCGCGCCCCCTCCCCCTCCCCCTCCCCCTCCACCCCCCCCACACTTCGCCCCGGCTGACACCGCGCACACGCCAGCACGCAGACGACCCCCGCCGGGATCAAGACGCGCCACTTCGGGACGATCCTCGCAGAGCTCACGGCGAGCTTCCGGATCCACGCCGAGTGCGGGCAGCGGCTGCAGGGTGCGTCTCTCCCTCCGCTCTTCTTCCCTCTGCGCCTTCCCCGTGCTCGTCCCTTCCTTCCCGTGCTCGTCCCTTCCTTCCCCGCGCTCGTCCCTCCCTTCCCGCGCTCGTCCCTCCCTTCCTGACAGTACCCCAAATTCACGGCTCACCGCCCTCTCCGCAGGCGTCTCCCTCGAATTCACGGGCGAGCTCAACGAGGAGGGCTTCTCCGTCACCGAGTGCCTGGGGGGCAGCATGGGTCTGCGGGAGGAGCAGCTGAGCTTGCGGTACCAGACGTTCTGCGACCCGCGGCTGAACTTTGAGCAGAGCCTCGGTGCGTGGTGTCTTCCTCCGCGCCTTCTCCGCGCCTCCCTCCGTCCCTTCTCCTTCCCTCATCTCCCGTCCCCTTCAATTCTTCTATTCATGATGGGCAGAGGAGAATACTGACGCGGTGGATGCAGATCTCGCGTTCGCGGTGTCGGACTACCTGCGGAAGGAGCGCCGCGGCGGGCAGGCGGGAGAGGAGACGGACAGCGTGCTCTTCGCCGAGCTGCGCGCGTGAGGCGGGCGGGGGGGCGGGGGGGCGGGGGGGCGGGGGGGTGTACCCTGTATCGTGCGCTGTGCGGACAAATCAACGAGCCTCTGCAGAATGCGCGAGACGCAACGCTGGAGTCGACTCTTGCGTAGTAGTTTTGTGCGTCATGTGCTGCTGGGGCATAAGGCGGTGCACCCGCATATCGTAGTTCGGGTACCAGTACACTACTCACTACTACTATCATTTTGGGGGTTCTGTCAAAGTCAGATTTTTGACAGAACTCCGAAATCTCAACAAATATGTAACGGGTGACTTAGCGGATTGGTACATAGGTGAATTGTAACCCGTAGAGAACGCCTGTGAAGTCAGAACTGTCATATCTTCTACCATTGTTGAATGGGAGGACGAATACTGTCCAAACAGCCCAGTGTAATCATGAGAAACAGGCCTGATGTATTAGATCTCTGGGCCTACAGTCTTCCGGAAAATATCGGCTCACTGGGGAACACTGTATTATGTATAGCTAAACATGGTTCACCCACCCGATTGGTGTTAAAGCAATTCCAACTGCTCCTATCGTATGTTTGACAGAAGTGCAAGGGTCCTGGGTGTGACAAATGCGTGACGAAATTGGCGCGGATTCCTTACTGTGACTCGCGTGTGACGCTTTGACAGAACTACCTGCGACTGTGGGTCCGTCACCGGCATCTCTCTCTATTATTCTTTGCCCAGTCAATTGAGGTGGTTATTTGCGCAGATGGTACTTAGGAGGGTTTATTATGATGCCTGACTGAAAGTAAAATGATTGTCCAAGGAGCGGGCCTGTGGCAGGCTGTTTTCCGAGATCTTGACAGAACCCCCAAAATGATAGTATGGCGTTACGCTGCCTGCGCAGACGGAAGACGCGGGACGTTCAACCCGAAAAATGCGCCCGGGCCGGAAAAGCAGGGGATACCTGGGAAAGTTCGTTTGTGGCGCACAAGTTCGGTGTGGCTGGCTTTGTTGACCTTGCAATTGGACTTTCCACTTCTCGCGAGCGGCAGCGAGAGCCGTAGTTCTGTTCTCCGGCGACTCGTCTATTTATCGCAGCACTTTTGCAGCTGTGCATGGCGGACCGCCCGCCGAAGGGGCAGCGCTTTCATTGTAAGTGTCTCCTCTCCTCAGACTACATTGACGTCGAAGCTGCGGCCGAGCGGAATAAACAAGAAAGTACAGAATGCCCGGCCTCCCCCTGCACCAGGGATTTTCGAATGGCCCCTTTTCACTGGTTGACTCGCCGTTACGCAGCTCCCATTGACAGGCTACCTGTGGAACTCCTTGCGGAGATCATGATACTATCTCTTCCTCTCTTCAATTTTGCCGGATGCCACTGGTATTTCCATCGCAAGATCAAATGGCGTGATGCCTCACATCTTGCTGGGGTGTCCAGCCGGTGGAAACAGGTGGCAGAAAATACGCCGTACCTCTGGAGTCGCTTCCGCTTGACGAGGGTCTGGCCGGGGAAGTCGAAGGCTGAGGAACTGCTGATGAAGACCTGGATTTCTCGTGCTAGAGCGGTACCCCTCAGCTTATCACTCGACCTGTCATGGAGCAGTACGGGACAGAGCTGAATATTCAATGCTTCAATTTTGTCATACACAATCTGCACCGCTGCCAGTGCTAGCATCTTCAAGCCACGGCCCCCCGCACATGTGATATCTGGGCTGATGCGCGGGTCGTTTCCCCAGTTGGAGACCGTACGTCTGCTCCCTTGCGACAGTGGCCTCCGTCCGACGTTGAGGGATGTCTCTCAGGCTTTCTGCTCCATTGCTCCGCGTATGCAACTAGTTAGTTCGGAAAGGATCACCTCCGAATTCGGTGTCAAGTCATTCGGCTGGTCGGGTATCGCGGCGCTCATTCTCGGCATTGGCAGTGAGGCCTCTGTACCATACATGGCCTGTTGGCGGAGTGCATCACACTCCGAGTTACCATGGATCAGCTTGTTGAGGAAGATGTGCTGCCCTGGCTTCGTCGTGTCGACAGTCCACGGCCCCGCTCCGAGATGCTGCATACCGTTCAAGTGGACGTGCCAGGATGCTATAGTGATTTCTCGTTCTCTGTTGCGTGGCTCTTTGCTCCCTCCTATGCTTGAATCAAGAGTCAAGGTTGGCGAGGGGCTAAGGTGGCGCAGCGACAGGACGCAGAAATAACTATGCAACGCTGTACAGAGAAGCACCACTGGCGGCTAGGAGGAGGTCTGGCACGACGGATGTTTCATTCACGGCGGCGGACAGTGGCTGTCTGGATCCGTCGCCGATCGACGCCCTGTTGACGAACATTGAAATATTGAATGCGGGCTGTGGTTGGTCACCTTTGGCGTCAATAAATTAGCGTTGTCCGTCCCATATTATCAATGCAACTTTTTTTTTAAGTCTACGCTTATTGTCCGAGAGCAATGCTCTAAGTTGACATTACATATGTGTGATACTGCGAGGTCATGAATCAAACGAAACAAGCAAGCCTGAGCAATACATCGTTATCTGCTGGACTCGACTCAGATCTTCCGGTACTCCAAATGCACGGCAAAAAATCTCGAGCAGTGACTCGGAGGGTTTCTTTCCTGCGATTTTCGGCAGAGAACGTACGCGTGAGAAGGCTGATGTACTTTGGGTGCGTGTGGATCTGGCATTCAGCGTGTTAGACCACCTGGCGACGAAGGAGCAAGGGGGAGGAGGACTGGAAGTCTGAGGACATGCATCCTACTTAGCATGACAATTGACGATATCGCTGGCGAGAGAGCGTGGGAAAGCTGAGCTGTCGGCGAAGCTGCGGCTGTCGCTCGACTCAAGCGTTCACATACCGTTCTCCGTTCTACATTTACATTTACATTATTCCTGCTGGTATATGTCATGGAGGAGGATACGGGGAGAGTCGCAACCGCAGGTACGCATGTGCTTACCTTGTTCTCCGCTAGCGAGAAGCGTTGAAGCGAATTCACACTTGAAAGCATATGATCATGATAATCGCGATGCTGGAAATGGGGATGGAACTGTGATACTGAGACCATTGGACCAGTCAGTAGGACACGTCCCGGGTGAATCATTATCTGCAGGTTAGCGCTTAGTGGTATGACATTGACTGAAATCGCGCAGCTCCCATCGACCAGCTACCCGCAGAGCTCCTCTCAGATGTAATGTGTCTGTCTCTCCCGCATATCGGCTTCGCGGATCCGAAATGGCCCCGTTTCCGAGATACGTTGCGGCTCGCTCGTGTGTCCCGCAGGTGGAAGGAGGTGGCTGAGAACACACCCGAACTGTGGTGTTTCCTCAAAATATACGCTGGTATGAATTTGTCTGTGTCACCTGATACGGATGCTGTGGCCTATTCGAGGATGAAGACTTGGGTAATCCGTTCCAAATCGGCCCCGCTCTGCATCTGTTATATGCCTTGGTTGCGGTTTTTCCCGGAGACAGGACAAGCAATGGCATTTTTCGATCTCGTCAAAATAAATCTGCACCGTTGCAGACAGATCTCCATTATTGCACCATCCCATATGATATCTTCGCTTCCTGACGTGCCTATGCCATATCTGGACACCGTACGCCTTGACTATATAGATCGGGACGGACATGACGCCCCGTTTGCCGCCGCCCCGCAAATACGATGTGTCTATCTATCAGGCATCGGCGCCGACTTCAATGTGAACTCATTCAACTGGTCATCCCTTGAGCACCTCACTATTGCCGGGCCCGGGGTGGCATTTATTCCATGCATGGCCATGCTAGCGGAGTCCCGTAATCTGCTGAGTCTGAAGTTAACGCTGAACGGCCTTACTCATGAGTATATGGAGACTTGGTGGGGTCAGGCACACCCAGGGCCCCGCTACGAGAAGCTGCATACCCTTGAAGTCGAACTCGACGCCATGGGGGTGGATTTTAGTTTCTTTACCGACTGGGTCTTCCTCCCTGCCTTGCGTCACCTCAGAGTGGTGGGAAACATAGAATTTTATTCGGATATCGTGAGCATGATCTCCCGGGACGGCTGCCAGCTCGCCTACTATCTCGGGAATGACTGGTTTACGACGGGTCAGGAGTTATTGAAGGTGTTCCGAGCGATGCCGGACCTACGGATCCTGGAGATGGGCGGCAAATGGGGTGCGGTCTGGGAGTTCGACAAGAATGTCGTCGAGCGAATGACGTTCACAGCGGGCCAGCCCCTAGACGTTCAGGAGTATGTGCTCCCAAAACTGGAATCGCTGGCAATCCATGTCACCCCGAATTGCTATCCTCAACTGGTCGAAGCGATGCTCGCTTCTAGGAGCAACATGGGTGGGGAGGCACCCCCCACACGACTGCAATACGCCCAGGTTGGACTGCATCGCTGGTCTATACGGGACGGCGGGGAACCCATCCGCGAGGTTGATTCCGTCATGCACGATCCGTATGGTCCCTTTTGATTCCCTGGATATTCTTTGGCTCTGGAATGTATACAACCGATGTGCTGTGATCGCATCTTTCTTTGACCGCGGCATAGCTTCATTCGAGTGACAGGCAGTACGGGCTGAGCGAACAGATGATTGAAATGTAAAGGTTTTAATTGCAGCTCGGATTGCGGCTCACATGTAAACTTTCAAGCGCAGGCGAGCGACGTTGTTTATAGCTCATATGTTGACTGCAGCCATGCGAGTCCGATACGTCGTGTGGTTCGAGTTTCATCATGCAGGGTAAATAGCCAGTAGTTGCAGGTGTATATTATCTGGAAGAAACAACCATGCCCCTTCGCTGCTCCGGCATGTCAGTGACTGGGGGAGGGCCCCTGACAATATCTAGGTAGGTCGGATACAGGTCCCAGTCAAAATGGACCTTGAGGGACCCCAGTGTTGGGTTCAATCCCAGTCACATCGGGAAAACAGCAAACTCCTTTTTGGCCCTTACAATGTACTTTCTTTGGAAATAAGCCTGAATAAGAGTTGAGTGGGCCTATTTTGCTTTATCCCTCCTTATAGGGCACCTAAGGAGACTGTAGATAGCTGGAAAGTCTGAAATAAGACCCATAGGCCTGCTCCCCGCCGACAAGTCCATTGCCATTTTCCTGATGCAAAAGCCTCCCGGAGCACCAGTTCGGATACCACCATGGTCAAAAATGATCTCTAGCCAGACTGCTTCCACCACAAGCGACACTGCTGATGACCTACCACATCTGTGACACCTTGAAACATCCCATCAAATTAATGTCTGGTCACAGTCATGAGGACCAACGGGTCACGCTGATCACGCGGTACGGCGCGGGGAAGGTACGTCCCTTTCGTCTTCTCCCTTCGCATGCCCCCCCTCCCATCCCGAGTTGGTTCATCAGAAGAGGCACAACGCTAAATGTATGAGGATGAATGAATGAATGCACACAGGTTGCGGAGCACCTCCCGACGCACATCCGCGCCGTGCGCGCGTCCGGGCACCCCGTAGCGTGGGTGTGCGATCCGATGCACGGAAAGTGCGTTGTTCCATTCCCTTCTTTCTTTCTCCTCGCCTTTCCCATCTCCACCCATCCCATCCCTACCACTCCCACTCCCCTCCCCCTCCCCCCTACCACTCCCACCCCTACCACTCCCCCCCCCCACCACATCGCCCTGGCTGAGACCACCCCTGCTGACACCGCGGACACGCCAGCACGCAGACGACCCCCACCGGGATCAAGACGCACCACTTCGGGACGATCCTCGCGGAGCTCACGGCGAGCTCTTCGCCTCATCGCCTCCCTTCCCTCCCACTCTTTCCCCGCTCCCCTTCCCCCTCCTTCTTCCTTCTCACTTCCTTCCTTCCCCTGACACTGACCGACTGGCCCTGGCTGACACCGAACCCCAAGGCGTCTCTCTCGAATTCACCGGCGAGCTCGACGAAGAGGGCTTCTCCGTCACCGAGTGCCTGGGTGGGAGTATGGGCCTGCGGGAGGAGCAGCTGAGCTTGCGGTACCAGACGTTCTGCGACCCGCGGCTGAACTTCGAGCAGAGTCTCGGTGCGTCTCCGTCGCTTCACCCTCCCCTCCGTCGTGTCAGGATAAATAGCAGGGGCGTACTGATGCGCATGCGCATGCAGATCTCGCATTCGTGGTGTCGGACTACCTGCGGAAGGCGCGCTGCGGGGGGAGGAAGGGGAGGAGAAGGACAGCGTGCTGTTCGCCGAGCTGCGGGCAGCGGCGTGAATGTGGCAATGACTCGCGGTGGACGAGGACGAGGGTAGCTTGTATGCAGCCCATAGCGTACCCTGTTCGGACAAAATGAGCCTCGAAGTCGAGAGCTTCGATTCGGTGCCATGAAAACACCGCTCTTGCGTCAACTCTTACATTGTTCTGCGCGACGTCAGATGCTAGGACGGAAGACGCGGTGCACCCATACATTGTATTCCGAGTAGTGCCCAGCCCTGCACACACGGGGCCGGAAAAGCCCGGGATCCTGGGAAAGGTCCATCTGTGGCTCAAGTTCGGTGTGGCTGCCGCACTTGAGCGGCACCGTGAGCGAACATTGCCTGGATCCCCAAGTCCGAGGATAGCGCGCGCGAATGTCCGCGCTTTCGTCATCCTGAGCGGTGACTCGGACGCGCATTTGGCATCGCGGCCGACCTACCGCTGCTGCTGCGAGCTCCTGTTCATGTCCCACCGGACAAGTATTCCCCGCTAAGCGAAACGACCCGCCAGAAAAAAAGAATAACGAGTTACTTACATCGACACAGTCGCGTTTGTCCCCGGTGATGGGGAGCGGAGAGAATCGAAGACCCGTAACTTCGCTTCTCCGCTCCAGTCAACCGCGCGTCCGTGTGCGAACAATGCCACCAGCAAGTACAAGCTCGCTCGCGGCGGAAATCCACCAGACACGTATTCCCCACTCGCCCAGACGATATCGCGGGGAAGCGAAACGATCCGCCGGGAGAAAGAGTGACGACTTACTTCTGTCGACTTTGCGCTGATGACGGGAGCGGAGAGAAGCGAAGACCTTGGCATCTTCGTTCCAGTCAACAGGGCAGACGGAACGGCGTCCGTCTTTCGACGCCACAGCTGGGCTGCAGGCGGAAAAAAGAGGCCTGCGCCGGCACCGTGTTCAGTGGAAATTCGGTGCATGGAACGTACCTGTTCAAGTTGTCGAACTTGCACTCTCCATTGTTCCCGAAAACCACATTCATCCTCGCGGCCCAGCCTTCTGTCTCTCGTAGCACTCTTTCAATTGTACGTTATGGTCAGTGGAGTGGAATCAGCAGGAGGGACGCGCATAGGTTAGACTCTTGCTCTGCCGCGAGGATTCGAATGACAATTTCAGGAAAAGAAGATAGAACAACTGCAGGAGCTGACATCGGCGCTTCCATCTCTCTTGAGAATACTTCGGGGTTGACTTGGCCGCGGCGTGGAAGGAAAAAGAGAGGATCACAAGCGCGTCACCCCTCGGGACCACTGGCAGGTAATGTCTCGCTATCAAAAACGAGTCACTTCATATCAATAATTTGGAACCATTTAGATTTCATCGATAGGACACCTGTGGAGCTTCTGTCGGAGATCATGATTCTGGCGCTTCCTCCATACGACTTCTTTGAACGCGGCAACTGGTACTCCCTTGGTAAAGTTAAGGGGCGTGTTACCTTGCGTCTCGCTGGAGTATCCCGCGGGTGGAAACAGGTGGCCGAAAATACGCCATACATCTGGAGATTCATTCACTTAACGGGGATCCCGTCCGGCTCCAAGGAATCAAAGCGGAAAGACCTCTATTGAAGACGTGGCTCTCTCGTGCTAGAGCCGCACCTCTCAGCATGTCCATTGACCTGTCATGGGGCAGCGATAAGGGCCTGGACGTAAACTGCTTCAATATCATCAGAGAATCTGAACCGCTGCAGGCACCTTGAGACCCAGGCCTCTGCGGACGCGATATCCACGCTTATGAGCGGGTCTTCCCCGTACCTGGAGACCGTGCGACTTCTTACCCGCGGAGACGACACACTCGAGCTTCAGGGCCTTTCGTTGTCCTCCGCTGCCCCGGGGATACGACGCATCCATTTGAACATGATCAACTCCGGCTTCAACGTCAAGCCCTTGGACTGGTCGTGTGTCACAGAGCTCGTTCTTGATGTCCCGGGTGTCGCTCTTATGGCTTCGAAGACTGTAATTTCCGAATGTACCAGCCTTCACATCCTGCGACTGACCATGAAAAACCTCGCGGAGGAAGATGCGAAGCCCTGGTTTGATGACAACGACGGGCCAAGGCGCCGCTATGAACATCTGAAGTCCAGGCGCCGGGCAGCTACAGCGACTTTTCCTTATTCACCTGGTGGCTCTTCCTTCCTGCTTTGCGCCGGTTCAAGCTGTGTGGGGCCTTCATGCTTCACCCTTATCTCTTTGATATGATTCCGAGGGATGGCTGCAAGCTCGAGGAGCTCGTCGTGGATCACTATGCGCCAGGGCCATTCGAAATCGAGGAGGAGAATCTGAGACAGTTCTTCGAATCCTTACCACACCTGCGGATTCTGGACATAGATGGAGTTACCGATGCATTTCGCGCCGATATCATCAAACACCTGACATTCAAACCTGGACGACCTTGCGGTGACTACCTTCTGTCAAAGCTCGAAACAATGAACATCCGTGGTCTTGGCGGGTAGGCCAATTATTGGCCTATTAAAATGATGCTTGAATCAAGAATCAAAGTTGGTTTCGGCACGAAGACAGCCCAGGTGACGCGGTTAAAGTCTGCATGGATCACAATGCGGTGCTACACGGAGAAACATACGTGGGACTTACGAAAAGATGGGAACCTCTGGCACGATGGTTACTTCACTCACGGCGGCGGCCAGTGGCTGTCGAGATTCGCCATTGGCCCCCGTCCTATTGATGAAGATCGAGTATAATGCCGGCTGCGGTGGGTGACACCGATGAATGGCGATTCATCCCATATTAACAGTTCGACGTTATCTGCCTCTAAATTTGACTTGGATCTTTGCTTAGTCCGAACGTGCTTTGCGCAGTGAGCTGAGGGATAGAGCGTAGATGTGGCAACGAATGGGGAGGTGACGGTTATGAGGGTAACTCCCATGTAGTCTATAGTATACGCTGTCCGGACAGAGAAGACTCGAAGCTCAAAGTCGCCCCTTTCGGTCGCCATGAAACACCGCTCTTGACTCGGAGTCAACCTTAACAGAGTTCCGTGCAACGACGGTGCACCGATATATTGTATTCCCACTATCACGAAATAATATTCACTGCCTGGGCAGACGAAACGATGCGGTATGCGCTCGGGCCGGAAAAACACGGGATCCTGGGAAAGTTCATCTGTGGCTCAAGTTCGGTGTGGCTGTCGCATGAGCTTGTTGACCTTGAACTTTCCACTTCTCGGGAAAGCGGCACTCCTGTTCTGCGCCAAATCATATATTTCTTGCAGCACCCTTTTTAAAACATGACGGACAGCCCGCTGATCAGCGGAATGGAATCGGCAGGAGGTACGCGCATATGTTCGACTCCTGCTCTATCGCGAGGATACAAATGACGATCTACAGCACAACACTGTCGAACAACTGGAGGAGCTGTCATTGGAAGTGTCTCGTCTTCTCAGACTACATTGACGTCGACGCTGCGGCGGAGCGGAAGAAACAAGAAAGTATCAAATGCCGGGTCTGCCCCTGAACCACGTAAGCTCTTACTCTTCGAATGGCCAGCTTCAACTGGTTCACTCGTCACCACGCAGCTCCGATAGACAGGATACCGGTGGAACTCCTTGCGGAGATTATGATAATAGCTCTTCCTCACTTCAATTTTGCCCGTCACAACTGGTATTTCCATGGCGAGATCAAATGGCGTGACACCTTGCGTCTCGCAGGGGTGTCCAGCCGGTGGAAACAGGTGGCAGAAAATACGCCGTACCTCTGGAGTCGCTTCCGCTTGACGGGGATCCGACCCGGGAAGTCGAAGGCTAAGGAACTCCTCATGAAGACCTGGATTTCTCGTGCTAGAGCGGTACCCCTCAGCTTATCTGTCGACCTATCATGGGGCAGTACGAACAAACTGAACATGAGATGCCTCAATTTTCTCAAAGACAATCTGCACCGCTGCCAGCACCTCCAAGTCAAGGCCCCCGCACACGTGATATCCGCGCTGATCCACGGGTCGTTTCCCCAGCTAGAGACCGTACGGCTCCTTCCTTGCGACAGGGGCTTCGATCCGACGCTGAGGGACGTCTCGTTATGTTCCACTGCTCCGCGTATGCAACTAATCCGTTTGGAAAGCATCACCTCCGACTTCAATGTGAAGTCGTTCAGCTGGTCGGGTATCACGGAGCTCGTTCTCGACATTGGCAGTGAGGCCTTTGTACCATACATGGCCATGCTTGCGGAGTGCACCAACCTCCACGTCTTACGAGTTACCATGGCTCAGCTTATTGAGGAAGATGTTCTGCCCTGGCTTCGTCGTGTCGACCGGCCACGGCCCCGCTACGAGAAGCTGCATACCATTGAAGTCGACGCGCCGGGAAGCTATTGTGACTTCTCATTCTTCGTTGCGTGGCTTTTTGCTCCCTCCTTGCGCCGATTGAAGCTGTGTGGATGTGTGATGCTTTACCCTGATCTGATCAAGATGATTCCCCGGGATGGATGTATGCTCGAGGAGCTTATCGTGGATCAATATGGCTCAGAGCCCTTCGAAAGCGAGGAAGAGCATCTCCTCAGGTTTTTCGAATCATTACCGGACTTGCGGCGTCTCGAAATATGCGGAATTACCGATGCATTTCGGGCAGATATCATCAAACGCCTGACGTTCAAACCCGGAAGAAATGACTGTCTTCTTAAAAAGCTAGAATCGCTGAAGATATATTGGCTAGGCGGGTATGCCGGGTATTGGGATATTCAATTAATGCTTGAATCGAGAATCAGGCTTGGCAAGGGGACCCAGGTGGCGCAGTTAGAGGACGCAGAGATCACCATGCGATGCTATACACAGAAGCACCACTGGAGGCTAGGAGACAATGGGAAAATCTGGCACGACGGATATTTCATTCACGGCGGCGGCCAGTGGCTGTCCGGATTCGTCGCCGATCGACGCCCTGTGGACGAAGATTGAATATTGAGTATTCAATGCCCTTGTGGTGGGCCACCTTGGGCGTCACCGATAAGTGAGCATTGCTCGGTCCCTTTTGGTTCCATGGATAGTCTGTGACTCTGGAATGCGTACAACCGATGCGCTGTAGTCACATGTTTCTTCCTATCTGTAGTCGATTCCATGGCAGTACGGGCTGAGCTAACGGACAATTGTAATGCGAATGCTTTGATGGCGGCACCGGCTCGCAGCTGACATGTTGACTGCAGCCATGCGTGTCCGATATGTCGTAGGACCCCCGAATGCCAGTGGAGGTGGGCAATCCCTGCCAAGTTCCCGTGTTTGTACGTGCTTGCTTCATGGACCGGGAAGTGGTGGCTGTGTTGATGCGCAAGACCTCAGCGGGCCTAGGCTCGATACCAGCCACTTCGCAATTCAAGCTCCGCTCGTACTACTCGCTACACTGCGAAGCTCACGCCTTCCATCACTCCGAAACCAAAAAAGGAAGGCGTGTGCATTGCGTACAGGACTGGTCGCGAGTCTACAGCGGGCCATATAGTGCTCCCATTGTACACCTCTCTCGTCGACGTATCAGCACTCCAGCATGCCTTCCCTGCACCTGGATGTAAACATAAATTCTGTACATAACATGGTGGGCATAAATTCTCCGGAGTTGGATTCCTTTTATCTGCCCTGTGTGTGAAGATATGAGTTCCCCATGAATAATGACCTAAAAGTTACAATAATCGGCTCAAAGAATGAACTCAAGGGTGGAAATAATCAATCTGATCTTGGAGAAGTGTTAACAGTACCCATATCTACAGTTCTTGATTGGAAAGTGACCCGCGAAAGTATCAGCAGGAATTTCTGATACTGAAATACGCTCGCACCTGCAGAGCCAGCTCCCGCATGGATCTCGCGCCACCGCGGCAATCACTCGCGCTCACTCGACTTTTGGGAGGACCCCTGAAAATACCGATAGATGCCGGAGGCAGTCCGGACAAAAAAAGCGCCTCGGGCGAGGGACGCCGGAGCCAGTCCGGACGTAAGTAGGGGTCTCAGCCGGCCAACCCGGTTTTTTAGTCCGGACACCAACGGCACCCCAGCAGTGAGGCCGGTTGTAGTCCGGACATGGTCAGCAGCCTGCCACTTCGTCGCGGCTATACATTATCATTACCCGGTATGGTATTTCTCACCGAAAAAGGATAGACATGCCTGTCCTGTGGTCGTGAACCCTCGGGTACCCCTTATTTGCACGGAATTATACAGTTTTGAGTATCACGCTGAAATCCGGAGGCACATATGGAAGACACAGCTGGGTGCCGGATGCCTCCAATATCGCGGTGGTATCGTATCTCGCCGTCCAGGGCTATGAAGCCATGAACGGTGATAAGCCTCAGGATCGTCTGACCCCCGAAAACGCGGACTCAGCACATCGTACAAGCCCCACGGAGCTTATTTGACACAGCACTCACACACCTCCAGGCTTCTATGGGCTCTAAAGAATTGCTCTATTTAGCTCCGGACTTCCTAGCATCCTCGAGGTGTACACGGACCCATTCCGCAATTTATCTCCGTGGACAGGAGCTCCGGAGTAACTTAACCAATGTGACTTCTAGATGAATTAGCTCCGGGGCCCGCGGATACTTCTATCGAGGGGTGTCGTCCTCATGCCCAACCTCCAACACTCACTCCCTCTCGTTTCCAGCAAACTACCGAAGGTGCGGATGCATACGAGTTACCATGAGGCCAGCATCAGTCAGCAAGTGGCCGGAGGTAATTAGCACGTGACTGGCGCATCGCACGGAGTGATGGGACCGCTTGGATCAGGTGGCGGAGCGTCGAGGCGACCTCTAGGGGCTGGGACGAGCAAGTGGGAGTGCAAGAGAGTCAAATGGTGTATGGTATAACGGCGGCAAGTGTGGGTAGCGGCGTTTATTTGTTATTTATCTCCAGACGGTCACAAAGCCATTCCTGTAGTATAAATTGTACAAAGTAGCATACAGAAAAACAAGTTTTGCACTTCACCATCTCAGAGAATTAGCGTTACGATCTCAGCGACCCTCGAAGTTCGAAAGCGTCGAACTTAGCGAACTATAACCGATCCTAGCTTTGCCAATAGGCCTGACTCGTCAAGTGATTTATCTCCGCCGTCGGTTTAATTATCTCCGGTGGGTACTACATAGCAAAATAAAATTAACCAAGTCTCTCTAGCAATTTCTACCCACGCAAGCGCAATCCTACGACAGGTGTCATTGCTTGCGACTTTGATTGCGACTCTTTGGAGATAAATACTCTGGAGCATCAACTAGCGTTTGTTTCAGGTATCAAAGTGTTTGGTTTATTTTTCTAGGTCTTCCTATGGACTACCCTACGGTGTCTTACTCCTCCTTTCCCCCTCGAACTATTAAATACCCCTCAGTTGTCTCGGACCACCTTCACCCATATCACGGGGTTTGGGTTTATTACTTTTGGTCCTTGGTGATTGTTGTGTGTCAGTGCATATCAATGGGCAGGTATTTCGCGCTGTCTCTCAGACCCTGGCAATGGTCAATGCCTGCCGAATCACTCATTTGCCTGCCATGTCTTTCCTTTGCATGCTGGAGATCTCAAGCCCAAAGGCTCTTCCGTTGTCTATTGAATTTTCTACCTCAGACTATGCACATTTCAGGTTTTCATACATACACCCTTGTATCTAGTGTCTAGAATGACTTGTGGACTACAACGGGTGATTTTTGCTGTTTCCTAGAGGGCGGGGCAATAGTCCGGACATGGATCCAACCTTGGCCGATGCCGGTATTTTATCCGGACATAAAGGCGGGGGGCTGCCAAAAAAAGTCTGGACATGACAAATCAAGTCCTGCACCGGCATCTATCGGTATTTTCAGGGGTCCTCTTTTGGGGGATAACAAGGCCGGCACAACGTGTCGCCTTTTAGGACAGGCTGTAAAAATAGCAATTGATGGAATCATGCTGAGTCAGCGATCATGTGCATCGCTGGTGGTCTTCACTTTCGTAAATTTGCGCAAGTCCGCGTTTCGCGCCCTACAGGGCTTTTGCGAGTCGTCGAATTGAGCCGCGACTCGAATCATCAGTAGTTCCCCTCTCTGGGGCTGTTGTGCAAGATGTAGTGTGATGTAGGACATAGCACATAGCATTCACTTTTCAAGCTTACATCCTTGATGATGCATATTGTGAGCTGGGAGATTGAAATTTTATAGGCTAATAAACGCCATCACAACACCCCCGGGGAGGGGACCCACTGATGATTCGACTCACGGCCGAATTCGACGACTCGCAAGAGCCCTGTCACTGGGTACAATACCCATATTGAGCCACCGAGAAAGTGTGAAAGGAACCGGACAAAGGTCACAATTTGTTCATAGTGTTGCCTTGCAAAACAAATGAAAGTTCAATGAACAGTGCTGAACAAAGATCATATCCTGTGTCACAATCAGATTTTTGCGCACTCAAAAGTAGTATTTTTCTAATTCGTTTCACTGACTGTGCAATGGACAATCATGAAAAAAGTTTGACCTTTGACCGGTTATTTTCATGATTGTTCATTGCACAGTCAGTGAAACTAATTAGAATAATATTACTTTTGAGTGCAGACAAATTCGATTATGACACAGGATATGATCTTTGTTCAGCACTGTTCATTGAACTTCCATTTGTTTTGCAAGGCAACACTATGAACAAATTTTGATCTTTGTTCGGTTCCTTTCACACTTTCTCGGTGGCTCAATATGGGTATTGTACCCAGGGTTTGAGGCCATTTCGAGGCCATTTTTTGGACATACATTCATAGGAGATTCCCGGGTCCTGCGATGAATACCAGGACAACACCCTCCGTCCACGAGAGGTCCCACAAGATCGGAAGGCCTGCTAGACTCTCGACGATTGAGGGCTCGCGTTCGGGCGGATGTACCTCGAGATAAAAGTTGTTGAAGCGTATGCCAAAGAGGTGAGAGCAAACACCGTGAATCTCGCAGGCTACTCCCATAGTCTCGGTGTCTCTTCGCTAGGAAACCGGTCTACATCTTACTGGCTTAACAGGCCTCGCACTCGAAGTAAATACTGCCTTCTTCCACTGCACGGTTGAACGCAGCGGGCGCCGAAAAAAAAGCTGATCAGACAACCACTACTCGCACATTATTCATGATCAGTATCGTACAGGAGAAATCACAAGTTCCGGCATTTACAACAGATACACTCTACATGCGGCCCATCGGCAACCGCTGTTCTATGAGAGATCAAATCCGGCGCCAGAGTATATCGCCTGAAGGAGCTTATCCCGCAGAGTCTTCTCGCTCTGGTATCTCGGGAGCTGCGAGTCTCCTGTCAGCACGCTACCCAATCGCCATAGAAGATGTCATACCTTCAACAGATTCACGCAAGTGCTAGAAGTAGGGAGACGGGCCTCGTCCGAACCCGCATCGCGGATGGCAAAGTTCGGCACAAGCTCCTTGAATCCACTTAAGCATCGGACAGATCAGTAAAGTGTTCTTTACAGCAGCCAGCATAATAAGGCACGTACAGCAGAGGCGGCCGGCTACAACTCGTAACGAACCGCAACAGCGCCTTGCGCTGGTCTTGGTTGAAGGTATTGACGACCTGAGACGAGATAGCGTCAGAATGACAGTGGCTACAAGTAACGTTCGGAGTGCGTACATTCCAGAACATGACAATCGTCGGATGGTTGTCATCGTAAAGGCCTCCGTAATTCGTATGGCTCCTGAGATCATCCAAGTCAATAGGCGTATCCACACCGCCCAGCAATATCTGCAGCTCCTGCTGGTTGAACATGCTATATCACCGGAAACGTCAGAGCGCTGGCCAGCTCGAAGGTGGAATGAGATACAAACCGTAGCCACTTCGTGTCAATCATCTGCGATAGTCCCTCAAAGAACGCCTCGCTCTGCAGCCTGATCTGCTTCGTGAGGCGATAGTGGGACACGAGCGTGATATACTGCAGCCGGTTCTCGCGGGTGACTGGGATGTTGCTCCCATTCGGGATGAGCTCGGTGGTCTTGGTGACGCCGAGATCTGGCGCTCATCAGTCATCCATCCAGGCCTGACGGAAGAGAACGACTACATACCTTCCTCGTCGACCGTGAACGTCAGGGACAGATCTTCTGGGTTGCCGTTGTAATGTTTTAAGAAGATCAAGCCGTTGTACAGGTCTGGATCCAGCGACGCCAGGTCATCCAAGAAGCTCTGCTTCCCCAACCACTATATGGCAGAGCGGTAGGTAAAACGCCGCTTCATACGACAGAAGCGGACGTTCCACGTAACGTACCTTGGCGAGGAAGAACCCAGCAAACGCAACATCAACCAGAATACCCTCATACAACGCCTTCCCAAGCACGCGACCAATGAACCGATACCAGTTCAAACTGTGCGCTGCGCATGGTCAAGTTCAGCATCACGATCGCAAGGGACGCGGAAAGGGTACGCACGTTCTTTCGCATACGAGTGCGGGTTGGGATACAGCTCATTCTTCTTATTCGCCAACCACAGCCCCCGATCGCGATCAAACACCTCCTTACACAGACTCGTCAAAAACTCCTTGAACACGCCTCCCCCATCAATCCCCGCCCTGTCACCCAATCACCAATCAGCATCCCTCACCTCGCCCCACGAAACAGGAAGCCAACACTCACTCCTCCTGCCCAAACTGATCAATGAACACAATCTCGATCGGCGCCTTCAAATCCGCATCGCCCAGCCTATCAAACCCATCCTCCGCAATATGGTCCCGTCTCACGCTGACCCTCAGCCGGCCTCTACGCCCGTACCTATCATAGCCCTGGCTAATCATATCGTTCGCGACAAAGTGCCTGAATATCGACACGCGGATCTCGAACGGGATCGCAAAGGGGATGTTGTGCAGCACGCCGAGACGCGGCGAGAGCTTCGCGACCTGCCGCTTCGAGAGCGGGCGGCTCTGCGGGACGTCGGGCTGCGTGAGGCGCTGCTCCTCGAGGCTGAGACGCAGGTGGACTGTGAGTTGCTGGGAGCCAATGACGTGTACGGGGACTTACACGGCAGCCTCGATGAAGGACGACATGTCGAGTTGCGAGGTGCAATGCCAATGCCCCTCGGGCGTGAATGGCTTCCGCGAGCTGCAAGCCAAACCCGCTCATCAATCAGCCCGATCCCTGCGCGGAGAAAAATCGAGCACCACTCACTCTCTCCCATGTATCGCCTGCAAACACCTCGTCAGCGTCTCCCTCACGACCTCCCACCGGACCCCGCGCAGCCCGGGCACGGTCCCCTCCTGCACGTCCCGCTGGTCCTCGCGCCAGTACAGCGTGAACGCAATGTTCAGCAGGCGGCGCGAGAGCGCGATCAGCTCGTCGAGCGAGAGCGGGTTGCGCCCGGCGCTACTGTTCGCCGCGCTCGAGAAGAACTCGTCGTCGCCCATCGTCTGCAGCGCCTGCGTGTACATCTCGGTCAGCAGGAGCAGCGGCGGCCACTGTGCCGCGTTCTCCGGGTCTGCACGCGCTCGTCAGTTCCATCTATACTATACTTGCCACACGGAGTGCGGGAAATCACGGAATGCACTCACCCATGATAGCCCCAGCGCGTTCGTCCCGCCCAAGCACGCTCCCCCTCACATACCCCCTCCACAGCTCCCTAATCAGCCCGCCGCCTGCATACGCCACCGCCGTCCCCAGCACCACATCCTTCTTCCGCGGCCACGCCATACTCAAACTCAGTATGAACGCGAACAGCTGCGGCTGCGTCGCGGGGTGACGCTGCGCCGCCTGCAGCAGCGCGGTGAGGTGTGCCGGGGCGGGGAGCGTCTGTAAGCGCTTGCTCGTGCGCGCGTCGAGTTGCGGGAGGGGCTCGGCGGGCGCCGTGAACGAGGAGACGACGCGCACTTGCACCGGCGAGTCGTCGTCGGAATCGGTGTCCGAATCGGCTGTGTGCCAGGGCTTGCTGGTAGTGGCGGACTTGGGTTTGGGTGGAGGAGGGTCCAGGGCGTTCACGGGCAGCGAGCTGAGCAGCGCGCCAAGGAGCTCGAGGTAGGCGCTGAGCGCGGCCGCGGGGAGGGCCTTATACCGCGGCGGCGCAAACGCCGCCAGGTTCGCTATCAGGTGGATCTTGGGCTCTGTGGGGAGGGCGCAGGCGTCGGCGGGGAAGGTCGCGGGGAGCTGGGGGAGGGCGGAGAGGGGGAGTCTCGAGGAGAGCTCGGTGAGCGAGGAGAGGGGGAGGCGGTTCGGGAGGAGCGGAATGGTGAGGATGCGGGTGAAGAGCGCGGAGAGGGCGGTTTGGTACTGCTCGGGGGAGGAGGAAAAGGTGGTGAGCGGGGAGGTGATCAGGGGGACGATGAGCGGGAGGGAGGGTGTGTTCTTGGCGTCTATGGCCTGCACTAGAGTTACCAGAAGGAAGCGGATAAGAAGGACGGGCTGACGCACTATGCCGGTGATTGCTTGGGAGAGAAGGGTGTACATCTCGCGTGCGAGGAGGTAGCCTGTGATCTCGCGACTTACGACTGGACCCTGATCTCCCAGATGTTTCCCGCACACTGCTGGTGATAGAAGAGCGTTCAGTATTCGCAAGTGCGAGACAGCATCTGGAGACCTATAGTATATCGTAAAGCCTACGTCTGATCAGGCGAGAGCACAGTGCTTACCTTGGGGCGCTTGCCGCCGACTTCAGCAGCGAGTAGCTCACCTCACGGATGAGGACCAGCCAGCTGGACCCTTCCGCGCCCGTCGCTAAATGAAACAAACTTTCTGGATATTATTGATAGAGTCAATAACTCTGTCGAGTACGTCGACCGGTGCACACACCTTCACCAGCGCCTAGTACTGCGTTCGACCACAAAGCCAAAGCCTCCTCGTCCTGGCCTAACACCGCGAGACATCTCAGACCTACGATTCCAGTAACGTTCTCCGCCAGCGTCTGGCGCAACTGGCGACGCACTCGCCTGGCCTCGTGCAGCCCCCGCCACCAGGCCTGCAGCCGCACCGCGCTGTCCCTCTTCCGCCGGATGTCCTCGCGCTCGGTCCGCCGCGCTTTTGCTTGCTCGAGGATGAGGTCATGTGTGGCGGCAGTCCGCCTACCGCCCAAGTTTATCTCTCGTCGTTTCCTGTCGTCTCCGAATAATGGCAGCATTTGCAGTTAAAGTCAAGGGTGAATGAGACCGCATACGAATGCTAAGCAAGTGCGTCAGCGCTAAGCCGTCGCGTGCGATCCACGTGGTGTTAATCGAGAGCGCTTCTCCGAAGCTAGTCCGACTCGGTTGTCACTGTGAACAGCGGGAACTCTCTCGAGGATTGGAGAACGCTCACCGGAAACATCAGCCTTGCGCAGCGCCTCGGGACTTGGAGACGTAGACGCAAGACGGTCGTACTGGCCACTACTGACTTTGGATCCCTCTCTGCACCTTGAGGACGTTATTCTGGTTCATGGACCACTCTCAATTCAAACTATTGATCTTAAAAGCTCTGCTCCTTCGCAGACGACGCGTGTTGGCAGACACTATGGATACTCTTGCTGGGATCCCAAGCAACGTTACTCTTACCCTGATGCTTTGCTATGGCTCAGAATTCCATCCTCGTCCATCCTCGTCCTAGCTCCACACCACCTGACGTCGACTTCGTCATCGGCCAACGACGTTCTCGCTCCAATGTAATACGCAGCTAACACACAAAAACCTGGGCTACATAAGACTATACATGACATTTCGAGCGAGCTTGCCTCTACTACGCTCATCTATTCACCGTCCGATTTTACCCAACCTCCGCACGCTCACGACATCCAGTTACCTCAAGATGATTTACCCAGGAGGATGCTACTGCGGCAACATAAGATACGAGATTGACCTAAAGTCACCCGACGAGGCGAGGACCAGCATATGCCACTGTAAAAACTGCAAGGTACCTATACTCACCCCCCTCTCCATATCTCCAACACCGTTCCAACTAGTTCAACAGAAATTCACTGGCTCAGCCTTTGGCATCACCGCCAAGCTCCCCTGGAAATCCTTCAAAATCACCAAGGGGTCGACGACGAAACACGAGTCCGACAACGGCTCCGGCACGACGCTCACGCGCGAGTTCTGCGGCGCGTGTGGCTCGGGGATACTCGAGTACGGCGCGAACGCGGGGGAGAACACGTACGTGTTCTACGGGACGCTGGACGAGCTTGACAGGCTCCCGCCGAGGGGCGAGTTCTTTTGCAAGTACCGCGGGAGGTGGTTGCCGGAGATCCCAGGTGCGTGGTGGTCTTGAGACGGGATCCATGGAGGAGGGCGGGGCTGACGCTCACGATGAGCAGGGGTGTTCCATAAACAGGAGATCAAAGAGTGAGGTGGGATAGAGGGGCGCTGCGTATTGATCTCCCTCATGTATGGTGCATTTGCTACATACCCCCATTACCGGAAGAAACAAAGACTCTGGCATTGCATTTACTCGAATCTGCCCATCGTCGACGCCCGGTAGGACGCCTGATGATACCTAGATACGTTGGATATGCGCAGACCTGATTTTGACCTTTTTTGACCGGAATCAATATTAGGCATTTTGACCGGGATCGGAACCCGACTGCCCCCCAGGCTGGTGGCTGCATTGACCAGGACAGCGGTCTCCAATTCCCAAAATTCTCAAAGATCCCTGAAAACGTCAGAAATATTGAGACTGGTTGTAAGTTCTCCACGTATATATCTATCCCTCTTTCCTAGCTTCCCAAATCCTCGCATGTGGGGTTTCAAGCATCAAATCTGTTGAGGCAATTTTGTGCTGCAATTGAAAAAATAAGCAGTTTTAGCAGCTCAGTCACACAAGACCTGTGGTCCCCATGACCGGCACCAGACATTATTTTGATGGAATGTTCCACGGTATCACAGATGTGGTAGGCACCAGCAGTGTGGCTTGCAGCGGAAGCGGATGGTATCTGAACTGGTGCTCCGGGAGGTTTTTGACCGGGATTGAACCCAACACTGGGGTCATCCCTCGAGGTCCATTTTGACCGGGACCCGTATCTGACTTACCTAGGTATTGTCAGGGGACTTCCCCCCTCACGCCCGAGCGGTGAAGGGGCATAGTCATTTCTTCCTGATAATATACACCTGCAACTAATGGCTGTTTACCCTGCGTGATGAAGCTCGAAACACACGACATATCGGACTCGCATGGTTGCAGACAACATGTGAGCAATAAGCAAGATTGCTTGCCTGTCTATTAGCTATTGAAGAGACGCCGCTTACAGGTCTACATGTGAGCTGCAAGCCGTGCTGCAATTGAAGCCTTTACATTTCAAATATGGCATGTAGGCAGGTTCCCCGCATACTTCAGGGGGAGCTTATTTATCTGAGGTCAAGTTGATAATTTTTTCGAAAGGGATTGAGCAGTCTGTCCAGATATTTCTATCAAGATATTTCTATCACACTGGTATTATTCCTAATATATGTATTGTGCTATGATAGACTCATGTGTCATGAGCCATGAAAAAGGTTATTATAGGCTATGCAGGGGAGAGTCAGCCCATGCAGGGGAGGGTCAGCTCATGCAGGGGAGAAGAGTTTTAGCCCACACAGGGGACAAGGGTTTTAGGCCATGCAGGGGAACTGTTCAGATTTGTATGCCCATATTATCCATTATGGTATTTATAGTTATCTGAGTCTCAGTATATTCCACTTGCTTCATATTGCTTATCTCTATTTGAGCTCTTTAAATTTCCCATCAACTGTAGACAGAAGAGCTGTATGAGCCTATGAGGTGTTAGGATTGGATTGTATCGGACGCTTTCAGCAGCCACAATAACCAAATAGGTACAAACAGTTTCGCATTTTTGGTAATTGTTCTACTGGATGTACTTTTCCTTAGTCCGTTGCTCTATACTAGCCTCTGGTTTGTGTCTGTGTCTGTGTCTGAGTCTCTGGGCATCTTTAGTGTCCTTCTGGTCTATCCCTGCCACGTCTAATATGAGGTGCCACATCAGGGAGAGTCTGGTATTTCCTCTTTTTTGTAATCATATCTCATGCTACATGCTTTTCCAATATTGCATAATTGATTCTCATTATAGTCTATTCAGCTGTACATATCCTGACGTACCCACATACAGTAGCTGAATCCTATTATTCAATGTGAGGAGCTGACCATCGCGAAGGTGTGATTCCTAAGGCGTAAGGAAAGCCCCAGTGAGTGGGTTGAGGCGGGAGGCAATGCCACCGGGAACGCCCGAGAAATGCACGTGGCGGCAGCAGTGCCACTGAGCCTGTAACCCTACGCTAGGGCTGACAAGCCATTCAGTGGCGTGGGAGATCCCTTACGCATTTCGAGACCGCTATACCAACAAAGGGGGAGCAAGCTCCCCCAATGATCCGTTAGCTCAGCCCGTACTGCCTTTCACTCGTATCTCACGAAGCTACTCCGGGGTCGACTACACATAGGAAGAATGATGCGACCACAGAGTCGGCCGCGTCATTCGTACCCGTTGACACGGGCGAGCGTCGTGCCGTCGTAACTCTGCTCTTACCGACGCTGTGCTCGTCAAGCGCGGCGTACAGGACGGCCAGGTTACTCGACGTCTCAAATACAAGCTTGCGACGTCACTATGACAGTGACTGTAATAATAAGTGCATAGGCGTAACAAATTGTTCGAGCTACTACCACGCGATTGTAGTTCTAGTAGCGCGTGAGACCGCTTCCCCTGGCAGAATGAACCCAACGTATTCCCGACCCCCCATCCTGGCTCATCCCATTTCGTATCCATTAGAGATAATATTGCCTACCAGCGAGATAATAATGGCCACAGACTGTGTCGACAGGTCGATCATGCGCATAGTGACACCGATCCGCGAATCAGTTTCACAGTTCACAGTGATGCGGGAACTTGAGGGGACACGCGCGGTAGAATAGGTCACCCTCACGGTCTGTGTACCACTCGTTATGTTGCGTAAGCTTACATTGCCTGATATCGACATGCTCCAGTCGAACTGGCGGGGCATCTTCTCCATCTTGTTTCGCTCTCAAAACTAGCATATCTTCGAGAAGCTGAGGATCGCAGTCGCGGTTGATGCTCTGTATCTGCAATGATTCTAATTTCGGGAGAAGATACTCCTCCGACGCAGATGCACCACCAGGACGGAAAGTCATGCGCCTGATAGTGTCGTTCCCGAACACACACTGAGTCGTTCCAGCGAATTGGAATACCCTCAAGTCTGGCAGTACTCGGAAGAGCTCTAGAAGGTCCCCCTCCTCTTCCAGGAAGGGAGGTACCCCAGATGAGTGTATGGAAAGCTCCTCAAGCTTGCAGCCATCCCTGGTAATGATGTCCAATACGTGAAGCCGGAGGAACACGAGGCCATCCAGTCTCAGCCGGCGCAAGGCAGGGAAGAAGTGCCATTGGATGACGATCGCAAAATCTAAATAGCTATACAGCCCATGAACTTCCAAGGTGTGCAGCTTTTCATATGAGGGCCTTGGCCGTGTGCCGTCCCTCCAAGGCTCCGCGTTTTGCTCCGCGAAATTGTTCATGTACAGCTTCAGGGTGAGCAGATTGGAGCACTCGGCGAGCAAAGCCATGCAGGGTGTAAACGCCACACCAGTCAGGTTGAGACTGAGGTACGTGAGGGCCGCCCAGTTGAAGGATTTGACGTTGAAAGCGGCGCTGATTCCTGTCAAGTAGACGTGTTGTAGCCGAGGAGCAGACGAAAAGGGCGTCCCATGTTGGAATGCAAGAAGGTCTTCCTCGCTACAGGTCCCTAGCTGTACAGTTTCAAGATACGGCAGGGACACGCGGGGAAGCGCTGACAGCATGTGGGACGGTGCGTAGAGCTCGAGCTGCATGCACCGGTGTAAGTTTTCCTTGATGAGCTCAAAACACCTGGTATACGAGTCCTCATCCAAGGAAGGCTGTCCGGATTCTGAAAACTGTGCCTTGGCAATATTGAAGTATATGCTCAGAGGTGCAGCGCGCGAACGGGCTATCCATGTCTTCATCAGACATTCATCGGCCTTCATCCTCGAGGCACCTTGCGGATGGACGACAATGCAGCACCAAAGCTGTGGAGTGTTATGCGCCACTACCTTCCACCTGCGGGACACTGTGGCGAGACACATGGGGTATTCCCATTGGCCGTCACGGTACCAAGTGTCATCGGTAAAGTCCCGCAGAGGAAGAGAGAGAATCATTATTTCTGAGAGAAGTTCCACGGGTATGGTGTCTATGGGGCCTGTAGATTGTTCAAAGTGGTGTGAGAAGAGTGTTTGGATGATGCACGTACCTGGTTCTGAGTGTCGCTGTACGTCACTCAATGGTAGTTGTGAAGAATTCTCGTGAGTAATATTGCTATCAACATCCAGTACTTTGGCGGTGTTATCCGCATTTTTATCTTCTCCAAATATCAGTCCACGCGAGGGGCGGCAGAAGACTGCCGTACACACGTACCTGCAACAATTTCATGTCCGGCGCTGTGTTCCCCCTCCATCTATATCAGCCAAGATAGCTCTTAAGCACAGTTATATGAGTGGAAGAAGTAGGGATTAGAATATACCGGTAGCACCTGTGTAGACGGTAGAGGTTGAGTTCAACAAGTTTCAGTGTTAAGCGACACTTGTTACATCGACCTGAGCCACACACATCAACTTTCCCAGGCTCTCGGCGCTTTCCGGTGCGGTTCCACTAGCGTGAGTTACTGAGTAGAGCCTCGTTCGAAGGACGCGTTGCATCCCTCCAAAGGCGTAAAAGGTGGTCTTTTTGCCCAAAAGTGTACCATATCGCCTACAGTTATTTGGGTCAGTCTCGAGTCGAGTCTGTGTGCCCCTCCAAGTCTGGCCACAACCCTCAGGCTCAGTTGACAGCACACTATTATTATCCTCTGCTCCTCTCCCGCGTCGCTCCTGCAGGTGGTCCAACCGTCCAACATCAATAATGCCAGATCGACGCGCACTGCGCACATTAGCTTTATTGCGTCTTCTCCCAAACGCTCAAGCAAGGAACCCAGCGAATCACTGCTCAAAATCCTTCACCGTGCACTCCGCCCAAGGGACAACCATCCCCTATCGGTGATGCTCGCCGCAGCTGTCATTCGATATTCAGACTTCCTCAACAAGGCGCCGATTCAGGGGCATGTCGACTCATGGCCAAGCGCGGTCGAAGAAGTCGTATCTCAATGGCGAAAGAACGCTTGCTGGAATGTTTGCACTGCTTTCCGGACAACACAGCTCCTAGCGGCGGCTACTGACCTTGTATTGCCTACTCGAGAGCTGTTTGGATTCTGAATTGTTACGGCGAGAGATCACTGCTTTCTTTGAACTAAAGGTTATCTTCAGCTCCGGACCACCTCGTCGCTTTGTCTCCACACCACCTGACATCGACGTCGTCATCAGCCAATCCACGTCTCGCTCCCGTGCAGCACTCATAAACAACAGTTCATAAAGTGTCGTGACACACCTCACCTTCTCCCCTATTCGCTCGCCTCACACATCACTTGATTCTACCTTCCCACTTTCTCCAAACTTTTCCTAGCATTATCTACCATGGAGCATCCTACTGCTGTATTGTCTCGTCTCCCCCAACGAAACTCGCACAAAAATCTGCAAGAAATGCATAAGTCCGTCTCCCCCCTCATGCATGCACCCTGCACCAGATTTCACCCACTCCGCCTTCAGCACGCCCGAGATCTGCGGCGCGCACGCGGGGGAGAACACGTGCGTGTTCTCAGGGCCGCTCGACGAGCCGGAGAGGGCGGGTTCTTTCGTAAGTACCGCGGAACTTGAATGCCTGAGATTGCAGGTAAGTTGTGTTTGCTGTTTGCCAGAATGGTGATGGAGGATGGAGCCCGATGGGTTGGGCAAGGATGACCCATAAACAGGAGATCAAAGAATGAAGGAATGCTGTGTATCGATTACCCTCCCGTTCAATAGTGCGAACTTGAGCGCAAGATTGGAGGTAACACGTTTTCCTCGCAGGATCTTCTTTCAACCCCTTGATATGCTCGATGCATAATTTTGATGCAGTGTCCAGACGCTCGGCCTCGCTCAAACCGCAGTGCGTCCACGCGTCCCTCGGAAAATGTCTCCTGCAACTTCGCTGATGCACCCATGATGCAGACTAGTGGCCGCGTTATCATTCGTGGCAAACAGCTGCGCTAGGTTGAATGAGCGCGCTTGCGCTATTACCGCAGCTCGTTACGGGTGCGTGTCAAAAATGATGTATTTTTCAACGTGCGAAGAGCATAAGGACAAGAATTGAAGTCAGTCTTTCCAGTCTTACTTTAGCATCATTTCCGTCCTTCGCGCCGACATCTGATTGATCACCGATTCAAAGTAGACAGTGATGATCGTCTCGCACGGGATAAGCAGTGCGGCGGACGTATCCCTCGTCTCCCGTGAACCACTCATGATGCCGCACCACGCAACCCTGCGTAACATTGACGTGGCTCAGTTGTACTGGATGACCATGTTCTCCGTCGCGCCTACGCGAAAAAACCATATCTTCAATAAGCCACGGATCGACATCCGCGGTGACGCAACTTATCCACATCGATACCAGCTTCGGGAGAAGATACTCTTCCGTGGGCGCACGAGGGTTGAACGTCAAGCGCCGGATGATATCTTCGCCAAACGCCTTGTAAGTCCCACCGAATATCTCCGTAATTCCGGTGTTGCTCGCAGGAGTTCTAGGAGGTCTGCCTCCTCGTTCACGAACAGGCTGTAATCATTGTCGTGTACCACGAGCTCTTCGAGCTTGCAGTGGTCCCTGGTAATCATCTCCATAACATGAGGCCGCAGGGACACACCAACGGGTCCTTTTAACACCAGTCGCCGCAAGGCAGGCAGGAGAAGCCAGTGAACAAAGAATCCGAATTCGACGTCAGTGTGATCTGCAAAGATCTCCAGGGTATGCAGCCTCTCTCCCAAGGTTCCGTATGCTAGCTGGTTGGCCCAAGAATCCTCCCGCCTTGCCGTGTCATGTCAGAGCCAGTGAAGCCACCTCTAATCGAGCAAACTGGAGGCACGGGGTTCCGGAACTGGCCGGACCTCCTTGACTATTACCCTTCAGCTTCGTGGATGTAGCGGGGCCTCGGCGGGTGGCTCGACCTCCAGGGTTCCTTATCTTGCTCAGTAAGGTATATGATGGTTACCGACACGCTGAGGAGATTCTGGCACTCGACGAGCAAGGACATACACGGCGTAAACGCCATGCCGTGTGTGGTAAGAGTGAGGTATTTGAGTAACGACCAGTTGAAGGACTTCATGTTGAATTCCCGGCTCATCCCCCATAGAGAGACGCGTCGTATCTGTTGGGCGACGGCAAAGGTTGTGGTGTCCTTCAGTGCCAAAGCGTCGTGACCATCAGTGTTGATAAGGTGGATGGTATGCAGGCAAGGCAAAGACACGGTTGGGAGCCTAGATATCGTATGGGTTGGTCCGATGGCTTGTAGCGGTGTATGTTCGCTTTGAAAAGATCAAAGCAAGCCAGCAGTAAGCCGTCTAGTGTCGGAGACCCTGGAAGCTCATATGATATGCTGAGCGGCATCGCCCTGGAACGCAGTATCCAAGTCTTCATCCTAGCATAGGTCATCTCCTTCGACTCGCGATACGGCTTCAGCTTCACGGTGCTCTCAGCCGCCTCCCTCCATCTGCGGGATACATGAGTGACGCGAAAGGTATCGCTCCAGCTCACGAGCTCGGATGGGCAAATTCGATGTCAGGAAGACAGAAAACCATTATCTCTGATAAGAGTTCCAGTAGTATGGTGTCTAGGGGCGCTACGGTGTTGATTTAACGATATGAAGTAACGTATGTTAGACACGGAGCAGTTACCTGGTCCCGAGAGATACCGCACATTTTCCGCTATCGAAGGGGAATCTGAATCGGTGACATATTCATACCAGTTTCTTCAGACATCTCATTTATAGCTGTCACGGTGGAACATACCTGAACCAGGCCCCTCAATAGAGCGAGCGGCAAATGTACGCACCCGTAATTTGAGCCACGGCGCTGAACTCTCTTTCCATAATGTATGTTCACCGCTACGATGCTCGAACCTTGAAGTACCTTGGTGGTAACTAGAGGTAGAAAATTTGCAAGAAGTTTACTCTAACTGTGTCGAGAGCGTGAAGTTCGAGTTTAAGGAAGCCTGAGTGCGCGCAAGAGCCACATGGAACTTTTGCCAGTGGTCATGCGCCACAATCCACTTTTCCCAGGCTCTCAGCTACCTGAGATCCCGGGTAACACTGACATCGACTTCAAATGAAGCGACCATCGGTCCAAAGGTATCCTCACTCAATTGTGACACATGCCCCTCCTTTGGGAGGGGTTCTGGCACCCTTGAATTGCGTCGCGATTTTCGTCGCACCGGCAAAATCCGGCGTGCTATGTTTGGCCCTAGTGGCGCCACTACTGAATAAGGCTGGTAGCGCCGCCCTCCGGGCGGCAAGGCCCGCTACCTTGGGTGGGGGATCGGGAATAGATGTTGTAGGGCGTATTTGTTACTCAAGCTTGCATGTATTGGGTTTTTTCCTTCACAGATTTATTGCTGTTTGACTGTTAATGGTGTCTCTATGTGTCTACTACTGACATGGCATGAGAAGGCGATCCGAGAACACAAGCATCAGTCTCGCTGACCGTCCCAACACAAGTGAGTCACATTATCATGTCACAGATGTCATGCCATATATGTTACGGATGGGATTCTTAGCTCCAGAAGCACCTCGTGGCATCGCAGAAGACTTGTATACGGTGCCTCATGTACTCAGAAGGACCGTCCCGTTGCTGAACAGGATAATACCAGCTACTGTATGACGGTGTGACAATGTCACTATTGGACTGTTGGATGTTTCCGGCGGCCACCGAAGTCAAGTCTTGGTTGTTGTCGGGGTGACAATGAGGACGGTGCGAGAACATTATCCGTGCAGTGTGCCGACAATGTTCCTTCCCCGTAATATGGATGTCTTCCTGCAGAGAAGACATCAGATGGTGTATTCGTGTAGAACGAGTCTGGTGACACGGACTTGACTGTTCCACGAGCATATCTGAGATGGCAATTTAATTTTTAATCTCAAGTATCTACAAGAAAAGTAATTATTTCGTAGTAGTACGCCTTGTTTTCTTCACCGGAGAAGATGCGGGAGATGGTGTTGGGCTCATGAATTCGTCAAATGATCTTTT